GACCACGATATCATGTCCTTCGCATTCTCCAAGACTGGGGATTAGTTGCGGACTGGATGATTCTACGCCCTAAAGCACCTACATCACCAGTAAACCACGGCCTGTCGTGTCTTTTGGCCGCAGGGGGCTCAAGCAATGCCTGAGTGACATTCTCGACGAGTGGTGTAGTGTGTATCGCCTCGGTTTCGATTACTGTCACACTATTCGGGCCTGCCGCCGCCGCTGCTGCATTCTCTAACGCTGCATTTATGGCTTCACTCTCCATATCTATCCTGGCCAGTATCTCAGGAGTTAACGCAAGGAAAGGGGCTGTGCTAGAAGGAGGGGGGGGGCTGTTGGGACCAAGGTATTGGATCCCGGTTGTCGGGGTGGGCCGAGTAATATATATTGTGCCTAGTGATCCTATCACTTCCTCCCGCCAGTCCCAGTTTCTTATATCGCCAGCCGGGAGGGGGTATAGATGTTGGCTTCCCTCTTAAGCCGGCGTAGGATCCTTGCAATATATTAAAGCTAGAAGGGTTTTTTGTCTTTTCTCCACTGGTAAGAACCCGCTTACAGACTGGTGAGGGGGGGACCGTGGGGTAAAGGGCCAAGTCCTCCCTATTAATTTGCCGTTGTAAAGGAGCGGCTATCCCCCGAGAATAGGCCTTCGGGGCGGTTAATGACCCCTTGTCTGTAGACGATAAGGGCCAGGTAGAAACACTACCAAATATCCCACGCAAAATCGGGGAGGGGGCCAAGTCACCAAATTGTACATGCTCGGGGAAGTGACCTCCGTGAGTTATATTAAAGTGTTGCTCCAACACCGGGACCGCAATATTACCAGGGTCACCTAACCTGGAGTTATATTTAGGTGATGCTCCATCACCGAGGGGTTATTTGGTACGGAATCCCTCAATCCGGTGGCTTCATCAGCAGTGAGCCCTCCCGCGGGCACGGCCCTGTCTAAGCAGGGGTACGCACTACTCGCCAGGTTTACGCTGTCGTGGCTCTCGACAGTGGCAGTCGTCTGGACGCCTCCGCTCGGGCGGAGGGGTTCAACTGGGACTGCTCCAGTTGTGATGACGGTTGCAGCTTCCGAGGCTATAACTTCCGTCATTTTATTTCTGAAAACAAATCGCAGGTGAGTTTGAGTATCGTTGTATGATGTAGTGTAATTGAGTCAAAATCTTGATAAGAAATAACTTAATTTAAACAAAATACTATTGCTATTTTTAATACAAATTGATTGATTTACCACACATAATGTAAATTCTGGTTAGGTAATGTTTTCAATCCTGTATTAAAAAATACAGGAAATTACTATTTGAATAACCTAATGAAAATATGGAATAATTTTTTTAATTGAAGAACAATTTTATTCTTTATTAAGATATATAAACCGGAAAGTATGCTACTACCAGTTTAATTATTATTTTTAATTTTAAGTACTTTCGTGTTTATTCCAAAAATAAAGTATTTTTAGTATATATATAAACTTAAAACACTTACAACTATGATTATTAATTATAAATTCTAAATTTATAATCCTAATTTAGAAATTGAATGCAAAATATTTAATTCTCCAAGTCGAAATATGATTTATGACTTATGAGTAAATCCCACGTGGGGGTACTCAGTAATTATTTGTACGCATAATAGGTATAGTTGTTTCAAACAAATAAAAACAATATATAAATATATTTGTATATGCTCTATTATTTTAATATACAATAAGTAATTTGTATAATCATTACAACAAAAATATTATTACATCCTAATCTTTATTACTGATTTCAAACTGCATAGAGAAGAGTTGCTTAACAGCCCATTTAGGACGTCGACGTACTTTTTTTTGGAAATTTCGGTTAATTTAAATCTTTATAAATATAATAATATACATTTTAAATGGTAATAGTATTGTGCATAGTAAACTTAAAGTATTAAAATATAACCATAAAACATTAAGCTAATAATATCGCTAAGAAAAATAATTATGACTACTAAGGTCTAATTATAAAAATGTTTGTAACAGGTACATAAGTAGTTGAGTAATTAAAAAAATATATATTAAAATTAGGGTTAAATGAAGTTTGAACGTTATTTTTAATAATTATAAATTTTAACACTGAAATTTCCATATTTGATTTAAAACAGATTTAAACTAATAATACTTGATGAGATGGATTCTAATTAAGTATTTTGTTGCTTCGGAAATCAATCTTAGTTATAAAACGTACCTAAACCTTTTTCGTTAACTACTTAATACTTATTTATTATTGTTTTAATTCCGTTTCCGTTGGTGAAATTGAAAATAGATATCGTTCTCTATCATGGGTTTCGTTTTAAATAACGTATCGATCTATACTTGGATATTATGCTTTGTGGGGACCCTGTGTCTATCTCAAAAATCATATTTTCCTGATCAGTGATCGGTATCTGCTTTATTTTGGCACATCGGTGATAAATGTCATACTACACCGCAAATATGACTCTTGTAACTTTTATACTTACACCCATTAGATGCGTAATTAGAACGGCCACAGACTTGACATCTATTTCTGCTATTCTTTTGAGTGTTGACCCCTGCATGAAACTGATTTTCAACATCCTTTGGCTTCGTAAAATTCACAAAATCAGTGTCTCCCTGCTGCCCACTGTCTACTAGTGTTGACTGTTGCTTCTTGATTAGAGCTACTTCAATTAGCTTCGCCAGTGTAAGTGTTTCGCTCTATGAACGGTAAACCATTATATTTTTCTATTCATGTAATTCAGGTAAAATGTGCACAATCTAGTGTGGGCATAGGCGTACGCAAACTTCAATTTTCGGTCGACCTTTGAACAATATTTTGTCCAATACTTGGACAGTGTCCCTAAATTTATTTTAATAGTAAACATACATTCTAACTGTAAATTAAAAACTGGTTAATGTACATACAACATATTTTTATTTCTAGACGCATGTTATTGAAGTTAAATACAAAATTTGAAATCCTTTAAAATCATACAACATAAATATAAATATGTTAAAAAATAAAACATTACCCAAAATGAAAGAAATTGTTAATTATTAAACCAATTAATAAATAAAAATTAAATACTAGTTGTTAGTTCTGGTTCAGTAAACATTAATAATAAATCATTTAGCCGGTCTTGGAGCATAGTACTCCTCAATTTATTTTTTACTATTGTTAATTTTGAAAATACTCTTTCGCAGAACAACTTGTAACTGGTATTACAGTAAATAATTTTCTCGATCACCTTCTTCCGCACTGAATCGACCCAGTCCTTCTTCTACGCATTCCCTCATTAGATTTTGATAGTCGATTATTAGCTCAATTAGTTGATGGTTTTGCCGTCTCAGGGCTATTGTTAGACGAACGAGTCGCCTGTTTTCTATGTATACAGCTCTCATCAACCGTCTGAACTTGTCAAAATTTTGACGCTCCATTACTGGAAAAATTGAGAAAGTAATTTAGAAAAATCTGAACTGGTTTTTTAATTACAGAAATCAAATCAGTTCATTAAAATACATTTACCTTAAACGTTTATTAAAATTAAAAAAAAAAAAACATGGAAAAGCGAAGGACAAAACGGTAGGCCGTAGGCGAGCAAACTAAAAAGGTTTCGGCCGCATGCAGACACAAGATGGCTACATTTTGACCGGAAGTGAAGTTATTGGTGTATTGGGACTTTTATGAGTTTTAATTGATAAAAAAAAAAAAATGAATGAAATAATTTTAGTTAATGTATAACTATTGCGGCACATTACTAGTAGTACACTACATTACGCGGTGCTCTATGAACACATGAACACATGAACAAAATATAAGAAATTCTAGTTTTTAATTGGGATTTTTTATTCGATAAAGATTTATTTACAAATATATACAATGTATATATTTTTTTATTAAAAAATGGAAAAATGAGGGAGGCAGAAAAAAAATTAAATAAATGTATATAATATTATAGTGGTTGTGTGCAATATTAATGTGATTTAGATATTTTGATTTTGTGTTTAATCATTTAGTTTGGCGACAAATTTGTTGTGTTAATATAACTTATTAACCATATACATGTATATAAGATATATGGATCTTATATAAAGAAAATATATTGTTTTGTTGTTTTTATATACCTGATACTTTTAAGAATTATATGCACATGCACTTCTAAAGCTATATAATCTTACCTGGTTTGTCACATAAAAATGCATAAATGCTATAGTGTATTCTAAATACATTTGAAAGCGTATATATATAATATAATAATTATATCCTTTATTGTTAAATCTCGTGAGTTTTGTGCATAAGATTTTTTTTCTGAGCGTCATTTATAAGATAATGAGCTCATATTTGTCATAAGCTGTATTTTTTTAAGTGCAATTGTGTTTCGCATGCATCTTTGTGTGTATGGTGTAGTTTTGTTAAGTAAATATTGTTGGAATAATAATTAATATTCTATATATCAAGAAGTATTTCACAATATATAAATATGTTGTTTATCTGTATAATAAAAATACGTAGTTGTTAACCAGGAAATGTTATAGAAAAACAAAGTTGTTTTTGTAAGCACACGTGTATGTGTAGACGCGTGCAACCTTGTGGGTTAATATAAATAGCATTTGATCTAAGGGCTCGGGGCTCAGTATTTCTATTCAGTTTATACATATTACTAGTGTATTATTGTTTCACTGTGTTGTATATATTCTATGTATAATATATCTATTATTGTAATAACTTTATTTGTGTTGAATACTTGATTATCATCTACTACTACTACTGGCACTCTGATACTATATTTATGTATAGTATTACAACAGGTTATGCGCCCAGACACTCAGACATACAGTCAAAGGCACACCGGACATCGAGAGTCAAGTATTTGAAGAACACAATTTTTTTTTGAAGATCACCAAGTAAGTGAATTATAGTAATTAAGCAGCACCTGACGAAGTGTATATTGGATATACATTTATCAAAGTCGTTCAAGGGTACTATACAAGTACGTCATCTATTGATATGGAAGAATCAATAAAGATTGCCAAGCTATGCAATATTGAAGGTTGGACACTTTGGAAATTTCAGATGAAGGTAATACTAACTTCATATGAGTTGGGTAGTTTAATTACAGGAGAGTATACAAAACCAGTGCTAACAAGCAAAGAAGCTGACGCCCAGAAAAGATATAAAGAGGATCTATTATATTGGCAACGTGCTGACTCTAAATGCCAAAAACTGATAGTAACATCGGTTGACAACGGTCCAATGCAATACCTGATTAACTGTAAAACATCGTATGAAATGTGGACAAAATTACTCGCTGTCTATGAGCAGAAAAACGAGGCGAGTATACATTTAATACAACATAAATTTTTCAGTTACGTAAAGGACTCGGCTGACGATATGTCGACGCATATTACCAAATTGCAAAACCTACAGAATCAACTTAGTTTGATGGGACAACCAGTCACAGAATCTATGCTTATGACGAAAATTCTAATGACTTTGCCATCGGAGTATAAACATTTTTACAGTGCATGGGACTCAATGCAGCTAGAAAGTAAGAATTTAAATGAACTAACATCTCGGTTACTTATTGAGGAGTCGAGAATGAATCAAGGTAGTTCGGTAGTTGAATCTGTAGAAGAAAATAATGCTT